CGTCACGTGACTTCCGCTGTTTTAAAATATATAATGCTGGGAAATTATATTATGGAAATATTATTTGTGGGTTATTTTTTGAAATTGTATTGTACTTATTTGCTATTAGATGTAATAGGAAAAACATTAACATGGATTAAAGCCCAAATTACAGCATAATTCTTAATTTATACAAAAAAAACTTAATCAAATTCAAAAGAGTGTAAAGTAATAATAAAGTTATTAAAGTGTGTAATAAGTCATTTGGGTTTCAAAATAAGTAAAGTTAATGGTTGCGACTAGATAACTTGTGCATTAAGTCATTTTTTTAAAATTAGTGACTTACTGGCATATACTGCTTTAGATTTTGTCATTCTGTTCGTGATAATCTTACTTTGGTTACACTGATTTCACTCATGAGCGAATAACATGGTTCCACAGAATAATGGGAGAATCAACCGCGAAATATATAACAAACTAATTTTGAATTCCCCAAATTTGACTGAGTTTTTGTTTTGTTTGTAATTAAGCACAAAGCTTCATAATGGGCTATCTGTGCTCTGCCCACCATGGGTATCGAAACCCGGATTCTAGCGTTGTAAGTCCGCAGTCATACCGCTGTACCACTGGGGGGCAAAATTTGACTGAGAAAGAGATTGGACGAAATGTAAAATACACGGTGAAAACAATGTATATTTAAATTTGAATGATCTCAAGCAATCAAAATTAAACAAGTGTACAGGACGAAATACAGAACCTTTACTAGATAGTCAACTCTGTAAACTCTATCAGAACTTACTGAGAGGCTTGTGAATAGCTGGTTAACTTTAATTATCAAACTTTGGGAGAGTATTACTATATAAAGAAATAACTTAAACTTTCCAAACTGAAGGCTTAAGACTGAGAGAGGGACAGCTAAGATATTAATTTATAGCATTATATGGGAATGTTATACCCTCGAGATATCACCCGACGAATTAACAGAGAAAATTACTGTCTACTTTAATATACACGTCGTAGCTAGCTTGTTATCTCAGTAGAGTGACACAGAACAATAGGTAGCTAAAGCGATAACAACTCAATAATTTTCTTGATTAAGTATTATGTAAAAAGTACACATACACCTGAACAACTGACAAATTTCAAAAACTTCCACATTGAAATAAGAAGGTTAAAATGCATGGTATGCTTAAAAATGAACAAGAGATTTTGTTTTTCCTGCGTGAATCGAGTTATATATTTAAAGTGTGACAAAACACTTGTAACAGTGTACGTCATTTAGCAATTAAAAAAATTCATTTTTATGATTAAGAATAAACTTAAAAGTTATTTAAATTTAAACAAAAAAGATTTAACTTGAACATAGTTCATCTCAATGACGTGGGAAAGAGTTGCAAAGTGGGTATGCTTGGCTAGAAATTCAGATTTTACAATGAGAGATTGAACGATAAGAAGCTGTTAAAAGTAGCTCTCGTGCTACCAAAGGAAGCTCAATCTAGAGAACTTAGAGCATGACCCCCATAAAATGAATATGATAATATAATTTATAGTTGCTATATAACTCAAATATGTAAAAGTGGGCATTGCTACAGCACCCCAGGTTCCGACGGCTCTGCTGTTGATTGGTAAAAGTTGTTATAATAGAAATTGTATTGTTATGACAGCGGAAGTCACGTGACCCTGGAACACGTGATGAGTGTCTTGAAGATTCGCGAAGACGCTAGGGCGTGCTACGCGCGCGTTTTTGATTGTATATAACCACGCCAGACAAAGGAGAGGATCATTCGGAACTGGAGTAGCAGAGAGGGAGATTTAAGTTATAGACACCGATAACCACCATAAGAAAAGTGCGTGAATCGTTCGTTGTGAATTATAGCGTGTATGTAAGTTAAAGTGACTGTGGAAATTAAGTGTATTGCAAAGTTGAATTGAGAAAGAATAAACTAGTTTTATTTAAGAAAGGACAAACGACCAGAGACGTAACAAATTGGTGTCAGAGAGTGGGACGGAAAAGAAAAAAAAATGGAAACGAAAAATGGCAAATCAAACTGCAGCTTAGCAGATTTGATGGCAGCAATACAAGAACAGCAAAAGAAACAAGAAAAACGAGAAAAGAAATAAGAAGAACAGCAAAAGAAACAAGAAGAGAGATTACAAGAGTTGTTAGAGGAAAAGAAAAGAAACAAGAAGAGAGATTACAACAGTTGTTGGAGGATAATGAAAAGAAACAAGAAGAACGTGAAAATAAACAAGAAAAGAGATTACAGCAGTTGTTGTATGGAAAAAGAAAGGAAACAAGAAGAACGAGAAAATAAACAAGAAGAGAGATTACAGCAGTTGTTGTATGGAAAAAGAAAGGAAACAAGAAGAACGAGAAAATAAACAAGAAGAG